TCGACCATGTTCATCTGGATTTGGTAGGACCTTTACCAGATTCAAATGGATACTCTTATCTCTTAACCTGCGTAGACCGTTTCACTCGATGGCCAGAAGCAGTACCTATCAAGGACATCACTGCTGAAACAGTGGCTCGCACCTTCGTCGAACGATGGGTAGCAAACTTCGGTTGCCCTTCAACCATCACTACAGACCGCGGACGTCAGTTTGAATCCGATCTTTTCCGTCGTCTGACCACACTTTTAGGAATCACTCGATTCCGAACGACCGCCTACCATCCACAAGCAAACGGGTTGGTAGAACGTTTTCACCGACAACTGAAAGCTTCGCTATCAGCTGCAAACGTTTCACAGTGGACCGACGCTCTTCCACTCGTCTTACTAGGTATCCGCAATGCAGTGAAAGCTGACATTGGATACACTGCGTCTCAACTCGTTTATGGTACGACACTTCGACTTCCAGGAGAATTCGTGGATCCTTCATCCTCTTCAATGAACATGGATCTAACCTCCTACACGAACAGGCTTACAAACGCAATGCGTTCAGTTAAACCTGCTTCCACTCGACCTCAATCAACTGATGTTTTCGTTCAACCTGACTTACGATATAGTACACACGTTTTCGTTCGTCGAGACTCGCATCGACGACCCTTCGAATCAGCATACGAAGGACCCTTCAAAGTTCTTCAACGTGAATCTAAGTACTATATAGTCGATAAGAACGGAACCAACGATAGCATCAGTATCGATCGCTTAAAAGCAGCGTATTTAGAAGGAAATCCTATCTACGTGGATTTTCCTTCGGTACAATCGAACGACACGACTCCGACACTTATAATACCTCATCCGACAACCAACACACACGATGATACTTCGACAGTATCCGAAAATAAACTTAAAACGACGCGTTCTGGAAGAAGGGTGAGATTTCCAGAACATCTAAACGACTATTGCACGTAAGGCACTTCTCGACATTTTATATTATTTTAAAAAAAAACAATTTTAATATGCTTATATATTTTTATTTGTATTTAAAAAAAAAACAAAACAAAAAAACAATTTTTTTAACGCTATTACGTGTTCATGAGTTTATTTTCCATTTTTTTTTCCGCCGACATTGTGCTTTTACGCACATACGAGTGTATTTCGACATGCACTTACATTTTCTTTTTTCTTTTCCAGGACGGCTGGAAAAGAACGATGACGTTTATGAGGATCCGAAATTTTCATTGTACATTTTCTTTTTTTACTATGTTGTACCCCCGTCCCATATAGTAAGGAAAGACGACCAGAGGCTGCTAAATTTAGTAAGCTATCAGAAGAGTGTTTACCAACGACAAACTCGTTGGGTTTAAACTTCTGGCTGGCCACGTCTTAGGGTCGTCACTGCCCCACTAGGGGGGGAGTGATCTGTAGCGGTAAATAAATCCCCAAAATAAATAGCACTAAGTTTTCGACATTGGATGCTGACCATATGTTTTAGTGGACTCACCTAGCTGAAGGCGCTCGGTCAGTCATCCGCACCAGATCACGTGTGGTAACGCCGTGCTCAACATCAACCGCAATCGCTAGCCAGATTAGATCAGAGAATTCCGATATATTGGTCATCGCCAAATATACTCTTCCGATCTCCTCGACTCTGTCTTTTGATTTCTCTGGGCGGGAACGAAATATATTAGAAGGTGTTACTGGTAGAAGCGTTGTCAAACACTGAATACCTGTGACATCATTAGTCTAAAATCACTGGATCCCTACTCATTAGAGTACAGATGACTCATGGGCCACTGTCGAACGGCTCACAGGACGATAAAAACTCCTGAGTATTCTCTAAAACACCTACTTAAGCTCTTTCCCAAGACAAACGTTAGGACCAAAGCCCAGAAATTAAAGGCACAACCCACAACAATGTAGTGTAGACAGATCTTTTTATCTTTACGATTAGCTAGATCTTCGAATTCCCTAGCGACTTAGATGGTCAAGTGAATTTCCTAGTAGTCCTTCTAGAGGAAAATTGACGTATTCTTTAGGACACAGTAAAATATACCACACTGATTTACCAATGCTTCTCTTTTGTTCACTTGAAATGCTTAGGTCTGTGCCTCGAAGCATCGGGGATTCATTACTCTTGGACGCGGAAGCTCGTTAAGTGAAATTTCCCACCACTCAGTTCATAACCGTTCAGACTATTTAAGCGGCTTCTTTGAGTGTTGTGTTACAGTAAGTGCTATCTCAGATCATACATCAGTTAGCTGACCTTTGCTAACGTTTACAGTAAACATTTGCCCAAGACGTCGATGTATCTATAGGAGCTTCAACTATTGTTCTTGTCAAGATTTCGAGATTTTTAAAGATCACTAATTTGTCTACTCAGGCAGAGGATTTATGCCTTAAGACATACAGGAATTTCTGTAATCCCGTCTGTAGACGATTTTTTAAGTATTTCTGATACTCTGATTAGATGGTTTGCATAAAGTGGAAAATGACATAGAGTTTTTTTGAGCTGTAGTCTATTGATTACAACTAAGATGAAATACCGTTCACCCTCCATACCATACCTTCTTTGAATAAGAGTCCTCATTCATATCATCAACTTTAACATCGACCCCGAAGTTTTTCAGTGGTGGTTCCGCGTTCAGGTATGATCACCCCTAGTTGACCGGAAAAAAGCTCGAAGCACCCGAACTAGGACTTCTTATCAGTCCGTGAAATCATGAGTAGTCAGTTTTGGTCTTGTTGGCGGTTTCGAACTCCCTGCCTAGGTTTAGCATGGTTATCGTATCCGGTGGTTAGATGCGTTCGATGACATGGCTCAGTACCGATATCATTGGTGCAGATGCATTTACTCTACCTTCTTTGAGATACTAGGTTTCAAACTATCTTGTGCTTTTTTACTTAACGAATTCATCTTTTTTGGGGTTGTGTTATTTGTTTTCTAATCTTTTCTGCTGTTCTTACTACTACTCTAGGATTCGTTTTGACGTTTCCATCTAGCTGTTATTGTGATGTAGCAACTTAACCCGTTTGACATATAGGCCAACTTCCACAGTGTGTGTAACTGACCGACTAGGATCTAGAGGAGATATTTCCACGAAATCGTTATGTAACTTAATAGAGATTGCATCTACCACAATATTCCTATCTTCCTTTGCAGTTCGATCTTTTCCTTCAGTGAAAAATTGGTGAACTTGCTCTGAAACAGTGGCTAGAAGAGTATTCTCTTCTTGTCGATGTAGAGTAGTAGCACCGGATATTTTTTCCATCAAACTAGTAACAATACTAGTAAGGCTAAGTGGGTGGTGTTTATTAACCAAATGTTTGTCCCCAGTTTGTACACCAGTTACTTGGAAGTTTAGATTCTTGCTGTGATAAGCCAAACAGGATTGCCAGCGGTTTTGCAATTATTTCAGACAAGACATAGTTTTCATCATGAAGTATTTATCACTTCAAGGACTTCATTCAAAAATCTTAGATATAACAATTCAGACTATCGGTGACTTGATAAATTTGTCTAGTGGTCAAGCTTTTCCAATTTTTTTCCACTCCATTCAGCATCATATGTCAAGCCAGTATATAGAAATTGACTTGACCATTCAGGATACTTTGGGTTCCTAATCTTATAAACTGACTTGTTTCTGCACAAAGCAGTCACTTAAGCATATGGCAACAATCTTCAAAATCTCGATGTCGCTATGTAGAAGAAAAAGTCTGCGGAGAATGAGTTATAGGCTCTTTCCTCGACCCCACCTTATTTCAAAAGTGAATAATCCTATGGTCTGTGTAACTTTATAATCCCAGTCAACGCTGCTTTGTTTCACATTAAGTTATCGTCTGCCTCCTTGCTCATCTGGCGGATCAACCGACTTCAACTGTTTCCCCACACCAAATGTAATACAGTCTCAAATTTAATTCTCCTAACTTGCTCAAATTATCTTAAATTTTGGTGTTGTTTGTTTTCACAGCCACTAGGTGGTTATCGAAGTATTCATACACCACTCACTTTTAATTCTTTTATTCCAATCAGCTAATAAGTTGAATTCAACGAAACGTCTAACAATCAGTATCATATTGCCTCCATATCTTCTCCTGGATGTTGGAAACCTATGGCACCAAATGTCACAAAATCTGGGTCTAGGGTATCATGTTAGATACATCCAACCACATAATATCAAGACGCAGTGAACCCACTGTTAAACTTTTCAGATTAGTTGATACATTGTAATTCGATCAGCAGAATTAGATCAGCACCAGGGGCTAGAAGGACGTGACATTAGTCACTACCCAGAAATCAATTAGTATATATGCAATAAATGAATATAAAACTGAAAGTTCTTTTTTCATAAAGTCGAGGTAAGCAGTCAGCTGACCGTTGTCAACATAGAACCTAGCGCATATACCCATCAGTTCAAATCCCCATGCCTTATCACGACAGAGAAATGTGAAGTTATCTATACACAATATCAACAATGGTAAAGAAGATTAACCATAAAGAAGGTTACTCAGGATGGATGAATTTGCGAAACAAAAGGCGTTAAATGATTCTGAAACACATGATCTAAGAGGGGACAAAACGTGAATGCATCTGCGTTACTGAAACCAATTCTATGTCATTTCACTCGACGTATCGATTGTTCACGATTATCATGTGAACCCCAACTAGGTATTCTACACCTTGAAAAATGACTCATTCCAACAGTCATCGACTTCATGGACTGATTTGACGTTTTGGCTTGACCACCCCTAACATTCTTCCTACCTGCTTCTACGTCAGCCAACATCGCGCGTCGAGTTAAGCAGTAGCTGGAAACTGGTATATGCATATTGTTGTAAGCACTTTAGAGATTTATATTAGTTAAATCTTAGTATTCTAATATCTCTATGTTCAAGCATATCATTCAGAAGATTTGTAAATGTTATAGTTTATGTATACGTATAATGAATGTATTATGGGTTTTTTTGAAAATATAAGCTGTATTCAACTGACCGGGGAACATCCTTACGATGAATACAAATTACCCTCCATCTCGTCTTCAAGTATCAAGTTTGTCATGTAAAAATAAGTGTGGCTTTTATGGGAATCCTTCATGGGATGGATATTGTTCCGTGTGCTATCGCAACGCTCATCAAAGACAATCGAATTTTCGTCAGGCTTCCTCCACTTCATCACTTTCAACTCCAAATTCGGAAGTAGAGATTAAGCCTAAACATAGCACTGGAAGGAATACAACTTCTATCAAAAATATATTTAAGGTTCCTCGAGGTAAGGAACAGCCATTCTGTAAAATATCTCAGATGATAACCGGGACCAAATTTCAGTGAACCCAGAAGAGTGTTTACAAGCCGAAAAAGAATTTAAAACATTTCTAAACACCCTTCGAGCCTCTGCAAATGCCGACATTTCCCGCCATGTAGGTATTCAAATTTAGTAACTGAAATTTTCACAAGGTTTCAAAGCTTATGGAACAGTTGGAGCCTATTCGAAGTTCAAATATTAATCAAGCCTCAATGATTGTGCAAGACTTTTATCACAACCTTTCAAACCGTATTTCAAATAATCCTATGTATTCAGTACGTTAGTTTCCCATTCATATTGATATATAATATACTTTATGATCTCGACTTGTTAAGTGATTAATTTTGAGTCTTTCAAGTAGATTTAGTAATTAAAGAACTCAGCTTCTAATTGCTCGATTGTAGATTCTAACCTTATTCATCTACTTTCATTTAATCAACCCAGTAGTATCATTAGCCCTTAGTGTAAATGAATCTGTGCTTGGCAAATGATTTTTTTTGGGGAGCAGTGGCTTTGTTGGTAAAACACTTTAGTTTCAACCATCAAGTTCTAAATTTGAACCGCCGTCCACTTATTCTGTCTGGGTAACAGCAGTAATATTAAACTCCGTATAAAATGATGGGCTAGCAACTGTGTACATAAATCTCTTCTTGGTTATTAAGTTTCACTGCAAATACTACCGAGCGTTTCTATTATTGCTAAGAGTTCTCAAGATAACTTTTCGGGAAATGTGGTATCACCATAGAGGTTCTTCTAACCAGAGCCATTGAGACAGTCTTCATTTCTAACTTAGTATTCTCAGATGTATTAAGGACCACTTTGTATGACTCCCGATTCAGCCAGTTCACTTCAACTAATTTTAACAATGAAAATTCTGGCTGAGAGTTTCTGTATTGTTTTAGGGTATGAAAGACAAGGTATTCCATTATTCCAAACTGTTTTTATTATAACGCCTATCTTTATAAACAGCCCATATCTAATTCCGCCACCGATTGCGTCTAAGATACTAATTGCCGTCATATAATCCAAATTGTGATACTTCAGAAGCTTACTAACAAGTAACAGGATTCGTTGCTTCCAGGTTGTGAGTTAGTTTAGAATGTCTCCACCTTCAGCCAAATTTTAAACATAATCATGCTCATGGTAAACAAATATTTATTGTGTTATAGTTTCTGTTTCCAAATGAATGTTGAGACTAGAGATCTGCAGCTCATTAGGATGTTTCTATTTAGCTTTATACTAAGCTGAGTGATTTAATCATGGTTAAAGAACCTAATTCCACCCAAATGGATGTCATTGTTTTGAGCACAGTTAAATTTTGTTAAGGAATGTATTGTCTCATTAACGAGACCGCGTAAAGCACTGGGTAGATGAAACTCATTGCCAATGCCATATTGTTGTATGATTTAGGGATACAAGGCCATGTTCTGGAAAAGGGTGGAAATAATTTATTATTATTACTGTGATTATTATTTTCAGATTGCGAAATGTCTATTCTCGTTAGTCAGAGGACCTTCATGGGTGATAAATCCACCATATATCCTATTTTTTATCGTTTTCCGGTTAAAATATTTCGTTCTGAAAGTAATCAATATTCCGTCGACCACAGAATCTTCGTTGTTCATTTAATTTTTGAATATTAAAGATTTCCATTGTGAAAATTAGAACAACACATATAAGCGAACAATTGTTTTCAATTAGATAGTCATCAGGCTTTACTCTAATATAAAATACGTAACCCCCCTATCCCTTCCATGGCCAGTTATAACTTAACTAACGAAAAAAGTTTTTTTAATTTCTATTATTAGAATTATTTATTTTATTCTACTTTGTTATCATTAACCTTATTTCCACATCCATTATTTGTTTGTAATTTTCCGCCTCTTTGTATTCTTCACTATCTAATTATTTACACACATCTTATTACGTAATGATTTTAATGTTTTGTGATTACTATTCCTAGTCTATTTACCCATGTTTGACCTTCTATTTCCAACGTTTAACTATTGATAAGACTTTTGTTATCGTATTTTATTATTCTTACTGTTATCAGTTCACCTGTCTTCCTACTATCAACTTGTAGTTTTACCTATTATGTGTAGAGACTTATTCTATTTCATTGTGATTATTGACTCATATTGCCTTGATTGGTTTAACATTTTCGTATAAATATTCATGTATATTAGAGTAAAGCCTGATGACTATCTAATTGAAAACATTTAATTTTTATTGGGACGTTATGAGAAAAATCTCGATACTATGTTTCAGAAATAACTTTTTATTCATTGATTTATTCCTTTTTATTAAAAAGCAATTTTAATCCATTTCAGAATTTGTCACCAAAAACCAAAGAATCTGTTTTAAACTCAGTTGAACGTTTCGTTACAACTTGGATTTATTTTTGGGCTTTTGCTTCACCTACAACGGATGATGAGGAAATAGATTTGAAATTACAGGAAAAAATTCGATCATTGCATTGGGTAACTCCCTACTTGCTTGATTCACCGATTAATCCTAATTCGTCAGAGGAACTTGCCCATTTAGATCTAGCAACATTTGGTAAGAATACGTAAATTTTGTGTGCACGATTTATGATTGTTGATTAATAATAAAGTCACGAGTTTAACCTTTACACTCAGTTTTTTTCTTGGGATACTCCAGGAATTATGGAAATGTGCAAATGGGTATTGTTTACGGTTAGTTTATAAATCGATATACTTACATTTACTCGTAGCGCAAACAGTGTCCGGTACACTGACACAAATAAACGGAATATGTGCTACGAATATTTAAATAGAAATCAGACATCCAGGAAATGTTCACTAATAGCGTAAACATATAATCATTTCGAAGTGGAAAGATGCAAACCGTTTGCACCACCTTTTTATGGAGACGAGTAATTTGGTAATGGTTCTCAACCAGTCAATAGAAAAAACCTGTTTTTCCATAAATATATAGGCTGTGAGCTTCGTCCTATAAAAAGAAAACTTGTGTAAGATATTTATTTTCGTGGATTGGTTGAAGTTAGACATCAACACCGTTGGATGCTGGCTCAGTGATCCAGAGGTTAAGCGTTCAAGTGCGAGGCCGATGAATCATGGGTTCGAATCCCACGGGCGGGATCGCGGGTGTGCACTGCTAAGGAGTCTCACACTAGGACGAAAAGGTCGTCCAGTGCTTCCAGGTTTTCCATGGTGGTCTAGCTTGAATTGATTCATGAATTCAACTATTAAATTAATTATTTTCCACCAAATGTTTTTATGATTTCAATTTATGACCTAGTACAGTGTATGATACTTATGCTGATATATATGAGTAGGATGTAGTACCCATCAGAAGTAGACAGCCTGCTAGCAGAAGATTGGATTGAAGAGAACAGGAAGGGAAATAGAGCGCAATCGTAATAACAACAGAATTGGAAGAATTATGAAGCATGCACGAGAAAGCCTAAAGAAGACGTGCAAATAATGTATTTAGTGTATGGTTTTCGTATTTTAAGAAGGCACTGTAATTTAGCATTAAACAATAAATTGGTTATCCCCACCTAAGTTCTTGTTCATAAAGGTAGCACTAAATATTCATATACTATCTATGTAACCAATTTAATAATTAAATGGTGAACAGTTATTCCCCGAACTTATTATTGCCCGACCGTTGTTGCTACCTTGACGTGGTGGTCGGGCTTGCCTATCGTGATGAAGCAACCGAGCTATACTGGCTGGAACAACCGTTCCTCAAGGTCCTACCATGTCAGACAGGTCGGTTGAAGAGCGGTAAGACTGAAAGCAACAAACCCAAGGTCCGAGAGCGAAGTTGTACTGCTGACTGTACAGAGGTGTGACAGCAGTAAGGTGTTTCCTTCAGACAACCAGCATAACAGCGATGCTGCCTTCCCACAAGGAGGGGTGGGGTTAGAAAAGGTCGACCCTAAAAATGCACACCTCGCCTTATCCCACGGATATCCGTCTCCGCCGGTAAGGCCCCAAAAAGTACGGAAATAACACAAGAATTACCCATAAAAAGGTCGTGTGCGACCGGCCTCAAACAGTTGTCCCTTGGGCACTGCGGTCACGCTCTCAGATCACTGAGACCGCCTCTAGCCCAATTTCCTTTTCAGGTACCTCCAGAAGAACCTTTCCACGGTGTGGGCAACCGGGAAGTGATAACCGCCCTCATACCTCTAACAGCACTCAAGACCACTGTATTCATAATCAACCTCCGTCTTCACTTCCTATTATTCCTCCTACATCGACTTTCAACTCTAAACTTCCTCTTTCGGCTTCCTCCTCAAGTGTCACCATAGCCAACGATTCTAGTGCTCAAAACACTGTCCCAGGTCTACTGAAACCTCGCTCCAAACTACACATTGGAACTTTCAACGTACGCACTCTATGTCAAATCGGTCAGCAGGCTTCCTTGGCTAAAACCCTAGAGTCTCTTTCCATTGATGTATGCTGTGTCTCTGAAACACGCATACAGGATCTCAGTGTGGTCATTCACTTGACCTCACCTCGACAAAACGGAGAGCCAGCGAGATACACCCTCCGTCTATCTGGTGACCCGACGGCCAGTTCTCGTGGACTGGCAGGTGTAGGCATAGCACTAAGCATGAGGGCGGAACAAGCACTGCTAGAGTGGATCCCCGTCAACAGTCGTCTATGTGCTGTTCGGCTAAACGGCTCCGTAAGAACTCGGAAGGATAGGGACACACGTCGTTGCCTTTTCGTCGTTTCTGCCTACGCTCCCACTGACTGCAGCTCAGATGATGTGAAAGATGAATTTCACAGAAAGCTGTTCGAACTTCTTCAGAAAGCTAAACGCTCAGACATAGTACTCGTAGGGGGTGACTTTAATGCTCAGATAGGTAGCTTAAACCAAACAGAAAGGCATTTAGGTGGATATTTTAGCATTCCGGCACAGCGAACAGATAATGGTGATCGTCTGCTGCAACTGTGCTCAGACAATCGTTTATTTTTAGCAAACACAAATTTTAAGCATAAGGAGAGACATCGTCTAACATGGCGACCCCCTACATCAAACCAACGATGGACTCAAATAGACCATATTACCATCAGTCATCGTTAGAGAGGGTCGGTACAAGATTGTCGCTCATTCTGGAGTACCTGCTTGGACTCCGACCACGCCCTAATACAGGCACGCATCTGCTTGCGCCTCACTGGACGCAAAAAAGCCACAGTAAAAAGACCCATTAGAACCGAACTGAGTAGCGAGGAAACCAAAAGTAGGTTCCAGGAACAACTGAGGTCACGATTAGGTAGTTCTGAAGACGAGGCTGACCCAGATGTTGCTTGGAATGAAATACAAGCAGCTGTGGAAGGAGCAGTGACATCTATTAGCGACTTAAACCACAGAGTTTCAAAGAACCGGTGGATTTCTTCAAAGTCTATCACACTGATGGATTCTCGCAAACTCGTCCCATCAGGTTCTGAACATGATGAAGAGCGACAACAAATCAGATCTAGGTTAAGAAAAAGTCTAAGAAACGACCGTGAGCAGTGGTGGGCAACGAAAGCAAAAGAGATGGAAAAGGCGGCGACTATAGGGAACACAAGACAGCTTTACAGACTAATAAAAGAAACTGGAATTAATAAGTCAAGTGTAAGTGAGATTATATCGGAAAAAGACGATACACTCATCTGCTCCCAGTCCAGGCGTTTAGAACGATGGGCGGAACATTTCAGAGAACAGTTCAGCTGGCCTTCAGCTACTCTACAACTACCCTCCATTTCCAGACAGTGTGAATGGAACATTGAAGTAGGTCCCCCAACTCTTGCTGAAGTTCAAAAGGCTATAGTTAATCTGAAACGAGGAAGGGCAGCTGGTCCAGATGGATTGGCTCCAGAGGTCTTTAAGGATGGTGGTCCAATTTTAGCGATTAGGTTGACTAATATTTTAGCTAAAATCTGGGAGTTGGACGTTATCCCATCTAACTGGTCACAATCACTTATCGTCCCAATATATAAGAAAGGGTCAAAATCATCCTGTGACAACCACAGAGGGATTAGTTTAACTAATATAATATTTAAAATACTAGCCTCGTTAATTATCAGACGCCTAAGACTCGTGAACTGCAAACACGAGAGAACCAAGCTGGCTTTAGACCTGGTCGTGGCTGCATCGACCACATATTCACCATTCGTCAGATTCTAGAACACAGGCATACTTATCGGCGTCCGACAATGGTGGTCTTTCTCGACTTAAAAGCAGCATTTGACTCGGTAGACTGCGAGATTGTGTGGCAGTGTCTGTCATTGAAAGGCGTACCCCAGAAGTACATAAACCTTGTGAAGGCTCTTTACTCGAACACTACTAGTCGAGTCAGAGCTTATGGCGAACTGTCATCTACTTTTGCAACCTCAAGTGGTGTCCGTCAAGGCTGGCCACTTTCCCCATTTTTGTTTAACTTCATCATAGATTTACTGATGGAAATAACTTTCTCGTCGACTGAATCCTCGGGTATTGATCTCCTACCAGGAGGTCCACTTATCGACTTAGAATATGCAGATGACATAGTCCTGTTTGGTGAAGACGCTGACAAAATGCAGAGTCTTCTGATAGCACTAAGCAACAATGCCAGGATGTTTGGAATGCGCTTCTCTCCCTCTAAATGCAAGTTGTTGCTTCAGGACTGGTCTGCGTCAACACCTGAACTAAGGATAGGGAGTGAAGTAGTCGAACGCGTTGACAACTTCACTTATCTTGGAAGTCTGATCAGCCCTAATGGGTTGGTATCGGACGAAATCTCAGCACGGATTCGAAAAGCTCGTTTGGCTTTTGCCAACTTGCGTCACCTATGGCGAAGGCGAGATATCCGCCTATCAATAAAAGGACGAGTATACTGCGCAGCAGTCCGTTCTGTTTTAATTTACGGCAGCGAAACATTGCCATTAAGAGTAGAAGACACTCGTAAGCTACTAGTATTCGACCACAGATGCCTTAGAAATATTGCTGGCGTCTGCTGGGATCACCGGGTAAGTAATAGTGAGGCTAGACACAGGGTGTTAAGGAATGATGGTAAATCAGTTAATGAAGTTGTGAATCTTCATCAAGTGAGATGGTTGGGCCACGTGTTACATATGCCCAAACACCGATTACCACGACGTGCAATGTTAACCGGTGTTGGAGATGGCTGGAAGAAAGTTAGGGGCGGCCAAACCAAAACGTGGCATCAGTGATTGAAGTCACTAACTTCTAGTCTTAGTCATGTTGGTAGATGTAGACTACTTGGTTGGGGTCCGCGTGACTATCGTAACCAATGATTGGAGACTCTTGGTGACATGGCTTAGAATCGATCACAATGGCGTCGGTGTATACACTTCCTGTCTTCCCTTAAACTAAGAGATTAAAATCGCTTCATATCTTTCTTTCTACGAACCAATTCTTTCTTCTTGTACTATATCTCTATATGCAATCTTTCTCCTACATATTACTACCTTTGACCTAACCACTGCTATGAATCCGGTGTTCATCTTGTTGTGCTGATGCGGTATGGCAACCTGGACCGATGCACATATGTGCCTGGTCCTACGTTGTAGCTGACTGACTGACTGAACTTATTATTGGATTCAATAATCACATCTAGCATAGAATGCATTAAGTTTTGAAGTTTTAGGATAAAGTAGTGATAATCTAGTCACTTAAATAGATCTCAGTAAAAGTAGAGAAATGATAATCTTAATGATGTTTGTGGAAACCTATGAGTGAAATGTACACTTACAGTTGAATTAAATATTAATAACTTGAAATTTTACTTTTTTATGAATCACTTATTTCTCGTTTATAACAATTTATATCTGACATCAAATAGTTTGTTTGACAATTGGTACATTTTAACTATGTAACAACCAATTATATAAACACATGGGACTAATTTTATAATGAATCATATCTTTTTGATCGACGATAATAAATAAAGTAGTATCTTGTAAATTCGTTATGGTGATTCGTTCAATTAGAATTACAACTTTTTTGTGTTTGTTGTATTTTCTCTCGTTTACACTTTTTTAAAACAATATAATGTCTTTAAGTCAATATTTATTAACACTGAGTTTTTAGTAAGTATTTAAAAAATCAATTTGAGAGATAACTAATCGTTATTGAGTATCAGTAGAACTCAAGTGTGTAACACATATGACCTTTAATGGAATAATTATTCAAGACTTTTGTTCTAGACTATTGTAGATCCAACATTTAAGCTACTGTATTCAATAGCACTATCTACTGCCTAACTGAAATAATCATATTTAGTTGTACTTCAACAAATTATTTGGTGTATATGCCTTACGTAGGTTCGTAATTTAAGCATCAGTTTTTAATTTTGGATGAATAGGCTAGTGAACTGATCACCCACACACGTACGTACACGTACATAGAAGCATGTTAATTACGTATATCATCTTTCTTATTCCATTGTATAAATATAACCTGTAGACAACAGTTAATATGATGAAATGATCAAAGCGCGTTAATCATTTATTTCCAAAGGTTATTTACAATAACTTAATGACTTCTTAAAAGTTGAACTAACTACATACATTAATGATCTAGTTTTTCCTGAATTGCAGTTGGCGAATGTATGCATGGTGTTGTAAATCTTGACTTATCCATCTTGATGATTAGATAGTGTCGATCAGATTACTTATTTAGAAGAATAGTTCAATCTGCCCTACCTTGCCGAATTAACTAATATTCTTCTGAATATCTTCATAAATCAGTAAACAACCTACTATCAGTCTAAGTCAAGATGTATTTTTACACAGAAAAGGAAGTACGGTGTATCATTTACAGTATAGATAGCACCAATTTTATACATATCCAATACTGTCTTCAGATCGAATAATGTAAACGGTCTAATAAAGTTAAATAAGATAGGAAAAGTGGTTACAAGATTGAAAGTAATGACTTTATGGTTGATAAAACTGTCCGTACGATATTATTTACTGCTTCATTTCTCTAGGTATTTTAATATCAAATTCTTATCATGTTAACCATTATCTATGTAGTTGCTTTCTAGAAATGCTTGCGTATTAAGAGACCTGTTTAAAAGCTAATTTTCAGTTAACTATAAGCAACGTGCAATCTGGCAAATAGAAACATCGCATCAAGCTGCCACACCATATCAACGAAACAATTATCAAGATAAATGTCACAGCAGTAGAATCATTATTACTAATATCAATGGTAGTAAAAAAGATTAGGCATAAAAAAGGTTGAATTTGCAAAATAAAGGTGTAAAATGATTCTAAAACACATGATCTAAGAGGGGACAAAACGTGAATGCATCTGCGTTACTGCAACCAATTCTGTGTCATATCGCTCAACGTATCCATTGTTCACAATTATCATGTGAACCCCAACTAAGTATTCTACACCTTAAAAAATGACTCATTAAAAAAGTCACTGACTTCACAGACTGATACCATGTCTTGATTAATTTTTAGTGATTATATTTCTATTTCATTTTATTTGTTTTAATTTAGCTCTTATCAAAGTGAATACATTACTTGCATCTGAAGATAAATTAAATCAAATAGTTCAGTGTTGTCGTAGTGTATTCGATGCATTAAGAGCTCACTATCGAAATTATGCCGCTATAACACAACAATATTTATCTAACAACGATAATAATGATAAAAGCCCAACACCTGATTATATGCCTAGTCAAAATGAAAACAACAATTTAACTCATGTACAAAATAATGTCATGAATAACTCTGTGAATATAACTAATAATGTTGTATTTGAACAAGAAGATACCGCTAATGCTGACGATTTTTTACCGACACTAATTTGGATTGTATTGAATTCAAATCCACCATTAATCTATTCTAATTTACAATTTATTATGAGATTTGCTAATCAGAATAGACTGAATAGTGGTGAAGCTGGTTATTTCTTCACGAATTTAGTAAGTGTTTCACTGTATTTTATTTATAAAACTTCTATGTATAGTACGAAGTAAATTTTGTAATTACTAATATGACTTTGGTGAGCATATGAGTAATAAAGTTTAAAGATGAATAGTAATGTTCTAAGAAAATTTAAATTACATTTATATATACTCAAACCAGTGATCTCTAAATTGTTCTTTTGATATTCTACTAATTTAAACCACGAGACCTGATTGGCTCCTAACAAAGTTTTACTGTTATTAACTGTACTTAATTGTTAAATGAATGTGATACAGCCTTTTTCATGTCTTATAAACCTTTTACTGACTTTACTTCATAATAACTATTAAAGATTCAATTCACCTCAGTAACCACAGAAAAAATGAATATTAGTTAATTAGAATGAGGTTTGATTACACATGAAATGATTCCGAGTGCAGTTGGAGACAGAAAGACGGTTTCTTACTTAATGGTCCCACACATCGTGGAAGGATACTTATTCTTGAGATAATTGAAAATGGAAATGGGTTAGAGGGTAGTCTTGATGACCTAGAAGCGTGACTGCTATGGTTAAGGAACAGTTGCTTGAGCGCTGTCATAGCCTTTTTTGTGATTAGTTTTAGGCAAGTTAGTGTCACACTTTTAAGGCCTCACTGCTGGGGATGGGAGTCTGCGGGGCAAAGTAAGGTGTGCTATTTTTAAGACCGATATTCTATAACGCTCTCCTGTTGTGGAGAGGCAGTATCGTTTCAGATGCCTGTTGTCTTAGGGAAAACCTTACTACATACAAAAAGTGTATACGCGTACTCTTCCATTACCCGTATATATATTGGTTTAATAGCTGATGATATGACATTGGATCTAGGCGCTTTAGAGCAATATTGATTCAGTAATGATGAACAATTGTTTTCTAGCTGAAATAGCAAGTATTTCTCTTTGGATTGTTATATAAACAGTATGCTAAACTTAAACTGTCCATTATTATTACTATTTCATTGCAACTGAAAATAATTTGGTAAACATCCTACAAAGTATCAACACAGCAAACATTTTATCGTTGATAATGTTATGCACTGTTTATGATTGTAAATCAGCAAATTCGATATGGCCAATAACAGTGATTCTGTTGGGGATGCTAGATCCCCAGAAATCACATGATAGACGTTTTATTTTTGTAATTTTACTTTCGAAATTTAAATTTCTGATTTTCGCACCAAATATGCCCATTTCTACCTTCAGATTGTATTTCCCACTTGACAAGACCCTTAATGTCATTGATTCGTTCCCTCTTTATATGCTATTTTGTGACATTTCCCAAGGACCTTTTTATGCCATATATATATGCTTGAGTTGTTTGCTCATTGTTCGTGCTTCTTGGTGCTTGTGGAATATACCTTTCCTTCATCTGAACCGGGTCTTCTCTCTCTAGTTAGCAGGGCTGAAACGCATCGGAATACTTTAGTTTGTCTTGTTGCTGTGTCGTCGATCCTTCGTTCCGTTCGCCGATTTTAGGTGATCTCGTAATTCCTTCAAAAATAGCAAATTCCATAACAGTATACCACAGCCTCCTTCTCTTTTATCCCCGGCTACTTCGTAGGAAAAATCTAGTAAAGAAGAGTTACTTAATGGAGAGATCAAAGAAGATCAATTGACATTTGAATTCATTCAATTACATATCGGTTACATTCAGTGATTATTAGTCAGGGCATTTTCTAACCTAAACAAATGTCACATGAACGTGTCATACTGAATTAATCAATACAGTAAAAGTGTACTACCAGTTAAATGAACAAAAATCACATTAAATTAATTCATAGAAAGAAAAGCGTACTAGAAGTCAGTTGGATGAAAACTACCCTAAATCAATATATGATCTTACAACTGATTTCGTAATACATTGTCTTTGGGAATCAAACATCATTAACAAAGTTAAACCGCTTCCTTCAACAAATCAAACTTGTCTCTTGATCAACATTTAAGTTCACTCTATCCGAAAACCATAAAATATTTTCTTATTGAATTTCCCAAGTTTTATTCAATCAACACAAAGCTATCTAGTGAGTGTCTGACATTCTGATATCTATTCATTTATATATTTAAACACATAAGCATAGGTACAAGAAGGCACCAAATAGATATGCGACACATAAACCATTCGATTTGTGTGAGGGCTACGATACTGTCCGGGTGCCCAGACTGAAACAGGTGGTTTTCTTAGGGGGCCACACTCAGAGCCTTTGACTTAAAGGTCTAATCCCCAAGGCAGTAGCGCAACGTCAGGAGATGCATTACCATGGTAACCGGTGACCAACAATTTGTTCATACGCCATTTGTTCCCTTAGGATCCTGGAGCCCATGTACACCATTGGTTTGGAATCAGGATTTTCCAACTCCCCTATGTGGATCCTCTATATCCACCAACCCAGTTAAAGCGCCGGACATTCGCCTTTTGTCCTATCAATTTCGTAAACAACGCCCCACAGCGAGAAGGTAGTGAGTAGGACTTCCCTGTCAGTGGTTGTATGCACGTGGCCATGTGAGAGCATTTCAAGAGGGAGAGTTGACTCTCCCCACTCTCGGCCGTACCAGGGCATTTAGGGGCGACATTCTGAAAACAACCAACCAATGAAGCAATAGCCTTCAGTTATATATTCAAAAAAATTAAGTTTGTGTTGTAATTTTCTGGGTTTTTCGAGCATAATTCGTTTTTATCTAGAAAGTATGACATTTCATGTTGCTGTTACTGAAGTGTTACAGCTTTTATGTGTAAAATTGTTAAAAGCGAAATCTCCAAAAAACTAGCTACTTGCTATGATGAAAAGCTCTATTTAACGACATTTTAAATTATTTAGTCAATAGCTTAAATTTTACGTACGTAAGCATGACTCCACTGTTTTTAACGTGGTAATCCAGATTGATACGTTAGTTTATTTATTATGAAAGAATAAAGAAAAAGAGAATAACAACAACTGATGTTACGGAAAAAAACATTATTTGTCAATTAATTGTCTCCTGTTTTCTTTTATCATACTTTTATAGTCGTGTGCTGTTCACTTCCTGAGAAATCTAACTCATGAGTCATTAAGTTTATCCGAGGAAGATTTTAGTCGATGTATGCGAAAAGGTTTATTATTAATCAGACGTCCTGGTGAACCATTATCAGAAAACGAAAAATTATTAATGGATAATGGAATTCGTCTTGCGGATTTAGAAGATAGGTAAATGTGTATATATTTATATTTATTTTAAAACAATAAATTTTCAATTCATAATAAATGTTGTGGAATTGTTCCTGTAATTCAGCCCTTTGGTATTCTTGTTAGCATAGTTTTAAAAAGTAATAATTTCTAGTGTCATTTGAACTTGGTTATCCTTATAAATAGTTATAATACATAACAAGTGGTGTGGTGATCTAGTTGTTAAAGCGCTTGCCTTTCAACTAGTTATTCACATGTTCGAACCCTTCCGTATCAACTTTGGTTTGATCAGCCGAATGTCACACTGGCCTTCACACCAACAGTTTAAAGTATATAGGCAGAAAATTCGATTTTCTTTTCTTAACTAAATAATGGCATCCAAATGTTTTGAAAAAGCGTTAGGTATTATGTATTGCAAAAATACTATCGAATCTAAAGTAAATCCAGTAATCAAAAAGTGCTTCTTATCTCTAATCTGAATTACACAGATTTGTAGACTTAGAAAATAAAGTTTTACTACTTGTTAGTAGTCAAACTCTAAATATATAATTTGTTGAACGGAAGACTTCTAGTTACATTCGAAATCACCTTCAATAATTTTCATTGAGTTAGTTTCAAAATTAACCAGATCTTATTCACTCTTAGTACGATAAAATGGTTTTTTTAGCCTTTTGTGTACCATAAAGCAGTTCAGTTTTCGTCATTGGCGAAGTTCATTAATCTCCCTCATATATTAAATTAAATAGAAGCCGTCACCTGTGAAGTCAACGAAGTCGAGATTTAAATGGTAGCCTACCAATAACAGTAAATAAGGAGACGAAAAATTAACAGCTGAAAGTAATAATATTAACAGTAGTGGAATGCAAAATATGGAAATAATTGTTTGACAGAACGAATAAAACTATCTAATGAAGTTTATGGAATAATATTAAGCTCCATATTTAGATGAAAATAAAAAAGATAATGCACATCCTTCAATGGGACTAATTTCAACCCATATCATCATCTTTATACTCAAAAGGCATAGTGCTTACTTCTTCGACCTTAATCGGACAACTTTCACCTCACGACATAGTTCAGTTCTAGCTAAGTAGATAATTACTTCATAAAATGTTCCGTTGTCTTAGTCACTGACTATCTTTTTCAAACTTTCTTAGTATGATAAAATATATAATTTACAAACGACGTAGGATATAATCACAAAACGTGGAACATTCAGTTTCAGGTCACTAAGTCAACTATAAATAAGGGTTGTAATGTAGAGACATTCTAATAAATTTGAAAATATCATCAACTGAATATACAGACCAAATTGAACAGCGCTTATAAGATCAGGGACGAAATTATATCAATTCATGTTACTATACCTCAAGTCAACACAGTGAGAGAGAATACTATCATATAAATTAGAGATAAATAATATCGACTGTAGTGGAAATTTATATATAAGAAATAATTATGAATATAGAAATTAGATCGAACATTAGAAAAAACGAAAAAAAATGATATGGTTTGTGGATCTGTTACGTTCACCTTGGCCTTGTGAGTGTCTACACCAGTGCTTCAACTCATTGACTTGCTATCCAAATGCTGGGTAGGTAAGCAGAATTTCACTTCCTCAAAACTATCAGAACACAAGAATGAAATAACCGATCTAATCCCGTTTATTTGACTCAAAAATCCATACGATTAAATGTATGAATAATAGGACCGCAACGCACCACAAATAAGACATTACAGTGTGTATCATGACATGAAATCAATACATGAAATTGAAATAATAGGCCTTATGATTACTTCGTAACAATTTTAGAATAGAAAAAATATGATAACAGTAAATGAGTTAGATAAAAACAAGCCATCTGGAAAATATAAAATCTACATGAGCTAAGGGTAAGTAATTACACATTTAGTAACGCGAGTATAGGCGTTTCAAACAATACTTTTCAAAGTTTATTATTCTCTCTTATTCGTCTAATCTCAACAGGAACTAAGCATCACATTCAAATAAAGATAATTAATTCTACTGTATCAATATGATCGATTTTAAGCCATGTCACCCGAACGCATCAATAATGTTTTACAATTAGTAAAATGACGTACGACAACAATAAGGTTACTTAATTATTGTGACGCAGAATTCATCTCTCTGTCCTATTGGCGTGTGGTAATTTGAACCGATGTACACATATGCCCGGTTCCACGTTGCGTTTGACTGACTGACAGAATCGATAGTGAATAAGCATACAAACAAATTGTGCTGTAAAGAATATAAATTTTATTGAGAAAGGTTCTTAGTAGGCGTAACCATTGTTATCAGTGTTTGTTACATGAAAATAGTTAATACATTTTCAATTCAAGTAGCTGTTTCATTCCAAACTTTACAAAAAAAGCTTCCACAGATTTAACGAGAAAATATGTTGATGTTTCATAATGTAGATATGAAGTTTCAGTTGCCTACTAATAATAAGTTTTCAAGTAGTTTTAATAATCATTAAGGTAAAATGTGTATTATATTACTAACTTATGTGTAATCAGTATTACGTAAAAGTCATAAAACTAATTAAACTACATGAATTCAGTTCGCATTTATAAATAGTTCTTTAGTGGAAATAATTATCTCTTTCTTTTAGTAATGTTGTTACATTCAAAGTAAACCGCTATAAGGTTGATTTAATTATAACTTGTTATTTGCTTGGTAAGTGATATCACAATATTATCTCAGTGATAAAAAAAAATCGAAAGTAGATGTTTCTACTCATGATTATTAATTAATAATCTATGAAGTTAATTTACAAGAAAACTATAATATTATTAACAATCATTTCTACTTATTTTCTAATACATAAACAATACCACTTATAAGTGATAGTAATAATAATAATAATTATTATTACACTAAATATGTATAGGATGTCATACAAATATGTGCACATGTGCGCTGTGCTCGATATTCATATTTACATAACCATTTGTGTGTGTGTAATATCGATTAATAATTTAAGGTGAATAAATAATGCTGAGAGATAACAATTATTACATAGAAGATACTTGAAAATATCAATATGTTTAGAAGTAAATAGTATTGGAGAATGTTGCCGAGAAAAGAGTGTGAGTGAGTAGAAAGTAAACTCAAAGAAATGAGTTGGTTGTTAGGTTGAACTAGTTAAAATTAAAATATCATTCTCTTCATCTTTGTTGTTCTTTTTTTTTGTAGCCTAAATGATTTAAATACAAAATTAGAATCAGCTGAATTGGATATGAAACGATTTCATGAATATTTTCATCATGAAATAAAACAAATACGAACAAATATTCCATTGAATGTACGTATAGATGATTTAGATTCACGTCATTTAGAAAATCCACATATTTTATTATTAGGTCCATTATGTAAATCAAATCGGCAAAATGAGTCATTACTAGACTGTGATTTGGATGAGACTACAAATCGTCTATTACCAGATCCCATACAACCGACTCCATATGTTGCTGTTGATCATTGTAAAAAAAGTATATAAATCTATATACATCTATTTACTTATTTATAAGTTTTTTTTTAAAAATAATATTAACTTTTAATTTTCATTGAATTTTAATTTAAAAAGAACGTTTATATTTCTTTCGAAAGGTTTTTATGGATGTATAGTGTAAACAATCAATAAATTAGTGTATATTAAACTACTATTATTTTTATCCATCGTTTTCGATCTCATACTTATTTCAGAGAGTAATAAACAAAGATTCTAAGCTATCTATTGATAGTCTTCAATTAGGCTATAAAAAATCTTTTCAGTTTATTAAGAAACTGTTATCAGATAGGTGAGTATAAAATAGTTAAATCATTTAAAATTTAGCTGTTAGGTATCGAATGATGACTCCGTTGTCAACCTAATTCTGCTTATAAGCAGTGTCACTAGACTGATTGAAACCCAAGTACGTGGGTACTAAATAGCATTGAATTGGAGAAAGAATTCTTTATTTCAAGTTGCGTTAATATAAATGTGATGTTTCCGTTGTCATTACTATCGTTCTAATATGCAAAACTTCAGAATAACACCTTTAAAACCTCATAAAATATTCAGAATTATATCTAAATAAAGAATACTGATTTCTTGAAAATTATCAGACGACATTGTGATATGTTTATTCCATTCATGAATATTTGTGCAATTCGTGAACAACATAACACAAAACGCTTAGATCTACTATAATAATTAATTATCTTAAATATAAATTCGTTCGATCATTCTGTAGGATCTAAACAAATTCGGTACATACTCATTTCTTAAATATAAGTTATTATATTCTCGACAGATTTCAAGTGGAAAAATGGACTTTCTCGTGACTATTCTCCTGCAAACTACTAGATTCGTTACTGACCAATTGTTCATTATGCAGCTGTTACACGTAAAACTCATTGATTTGCCTAAAGCTGATGCGTAAAAAAATTTAAGATACAACGAATCCCACCTATTCGATAATCTTTTATAGAGGTTTTGTACTTTTATTTCTAAAAAATCCAGGGATGAAAAACATACTCAAGAGATTTTGTTTTTCTATCAATTTGCGTAGCGTAAACAATTGGATTCCAGTTCAGTGATATAAATGAATTGTGCTCCTTAAGAGGATTAAAGACCCCGATTCCGCTTTCCTGTGGGGTCATGAGTGAATACCTCTGAGGAGTCTAAAATAACTGCCTGATTATCTCTAGTTGATATCAGTTTCTGACGAAAATCATATTCAAGTTACAGAAAATGTTTTGATGAAACATTTCAGTAAATGGCAGTTTTCTTGTCAAACGATTAACGAGAATCCAAGGCGGGAAGATTGTCTCTGAATTGATACAATGTTGAATGTAAGAAACATGGTGATCTGTTGAACATCTGAGCTACCTGTACCTACCATCTTGATATTTCAACAAGTTATCTGATCTTGTCTGTTTTAATACATCATTATGGCTATTAATCACATAGCCTACTCAGATGCGTTTCTGAAAAGTGTACAAGTTACAAAAGGCCTAATCAGAGACATTGTGGTTTCTGGCAATATGCAGCGCAAAGAATATGCATTATTTAGATGTCGATTGACTGGACTTCTAACTGGTGATCACTCAATATTTATCGTCAGGATCGACCAGGAAGCAAGAAACGGAAACTTGTTGAAATACTCTGTGTTGAGAATTCTACATTGTACCAAAAATATAATACTGAATAACCTACTTACTTACTTACTTACGCCTGTTACTCCCAATGGAGCATAGGCCGCTGACCAGCATTCTCCAACCCACTCTGTCCTGGGCCTTCTTTTCTAGTTCCATCCAATTCTTGTTCATTTCTCTCATGTCTATTTTCATTTCTCAGCGTAATGTGTTCTTTGGTCTTCCTCTTCTCCTTTGGCCTTGAGGATTCCATGTGAGGGCTTGTCTTGTGACGCAGTTGGGTGCTTTCCTCAATGTGTATCCTATCCAGTTCCAGTGCTTCTTCCTGATTTCTTCCTCCGCTGGGATCTGGTTTGTTCTCTCCCACAGTAGGTTGTTGCTGATAGTGTCCGGCCAACGGATCTGAAGTATTTTGCGTAGACAACTGTTAATAAACACCTGTATTTTCTGGATGATGGCTTTTATAGCTCTCCAGGTTTCTGCCCCATACAGTAGAACTGTCTTGACATTTGTATTGAAAATCCTGACCTTGGTGTTGGTTGACAGTTGCTTTGAGTTCCAGATGTTCCTCAGTTGTAAATATGCTGCTCTTGCTTTGCCGATCCGCGCCTTCACATCCGCATCAGATCCACTCTGTTCATCAATGATGCTGCCCAAATACGTAAAGGTTTTTACATCTTCCAAATCTTCTCCGTCAATTGTGATTGGATTGGTGCATTCTGTGTTGTATCGGAGAATCCTGCTTTTCCCTTTGTGTATATTGAGACCTACTGCTGCTGAGGCTGCTGCCACACTGTTCGTCTTCTGCATTTGTTGTTGCGTTTGGGATAGAAGGCCCAGATCATCTGCGAATTCCAGATCGTCCAACTGCATCCTAGATGTCCATTGTATCCCGTGCTTCCCTTCAGATGTTGACGTCTTCATGATCCAGTCGATCACCAGGAGAAAGAGAAAGGGTGAGAGTAAGCAACCTTGCCTAACACCGGTCTGCACTTCGAACGACTTTGTCAACTGTCCTCCATGCACGATTTTGCAGTTTAATCCATCATAGGAATTCCGTATGATATTGACTATCTTCTGAGGCACGCCGTAGTGTCGAAGAAGTTTCCATAGTGTTGTTCTGTCCACGCTATCAAATACTGAATAAAGCTAATAATAAATAAAATATTCTCTGCTGGATTTCATCTTGAATATTTTCATATTAATTTGAATTACTAATATCCTACAGAGTAGTACTCTTTTTCAAAATCATAAAATTCACCTTCAAGTGTTTACATATTTCTCACCAAACAAAATATGTTGTGAGCGAGATCTCAGTACACTGTACAAAGAAGAAATCTCCCCTGATAAGCTATATTCGATAACTTTAGCTTTCTTGGCTGGATTAGATTTGCTTTCATTAATATAAAACAAACAATTTACTACACTAGTGAACTTCATTTTGACAAATTTCGATAAGTCTGACAATAAATATTCTTACAAAGAATATATAAGCCAGAATAGTTAGAGAGAAAAAAACAACACGCAAGCAAAACTTGTATCACATTATTTATGATACATAAAAAATTAAGATAACTTGACAAATAGGAAGTAAACGATTTTCAAAATAAAACTTCTATGTACATAGTTGTTTAATTGAATCTTTATAACAAATAATCAAAAGCTTTTTGTAAGAGTAATAATTATCATTAGTAAGGAGGCGACATGTATAAATTCGAATTGTAGTATTTACGAGAAATAAATGCACAATGAAGATAATTATTTCAGTCATACAGTAGTAATACACATACGTGAGCACGAAACAGTGCATAGTGATCAAAGGTTAGAGTTGGAGTAGGTTGATTAAATTGGAAAATAAAACAAGAAAGAGAGAAATTAAGATACGTAAAAGCCGAAAGGATGAAGCTATATGTATATAGTCATAAAAAGGCTTCCTTCTCATGTGTCTAGATAAATATTACTCTCGACCCTGCACCCTGATGCATAAGTCTGAGAGAGTGGTAATTTAACGTCCATAGAAAAACAATAACCATGTGTAAAGTAAATAGGTAGTTTGGATAAAAGGAAAAAGAAAAAGAATAACAACAACAATATGCACAAAAGACATTTTAAATGAAAAATGATGTGGTAAATACAAGGGAGGAGTCTATCCATTTATTGAGAAAAAAGCCATTTCACTTGTGATATGATTAAGTGTTTACCATGAAGTAGGGAATTTCATCCAGTGAAAGCAGTTTGGGCGGAGTAAATACAGTACATTGCACCAGAAAGTGTATGAAAGTCGTAATTATTATTTATTCTTAACAAAGAAAGGAAAATCGTTAACATATTCTTTTTTGTAGAAGAACAAATGAAGAGTAATTCAGTGTTCGAAGAGGAAATATATATATATATATATATATATATATATATATATATATATATATATATATATATATATATATATATATATATATATGTAGGGAAGCATAGCATAGATAGAATATATATATATCATTTTATGGCGTTGATTACTTCATTTGTACCATGCTGACTTAATCTCAGTAAACGTGTAAATGATCAACTGTTCTTTTAGTTATTTTTTCATTTAATGTAATGGACAATTATTTAAATCAATTGATGAACTTAAGTGCCTAAGATTGTTTCTGATGATTAGCTGCCCATTTTTGAGATTGTCGAACAATTTGTTGACTTAATTCTTTCGTAGTTATAGGGACTCGAACAACCTTTACAAAAAAAGAAAGATTTTAATTAGAGGAGTAGAGCCAACTGGAAAATTGAATTCTGAGAAAAAAGAATTATTAAGTTGAACTATTCCAACAACTACAGATAGTTGTTGGAAAAAAGTTAAGCCTATGTTTACTGATGACTCGAGATGTTCAAATTAAATGCCTATCTATACATTTTATAATCATAAATGGTTGTACATTGTAAAATGTAACTCCACTGAAACTACCTAAAACAGTGAACTAAATGACAAAAGAAAACTGAAATGTAACAATATCTGAAGACAAAAGATGACCAAGCGTTTGCCAATATCGTTTACCAGTTCTAGTATTGAATGCTAACAAAATATTTTAAGAATAGAAGGATCATTTACTTTTTGTGAACGAAAAACAAATCAGATAAAATGTATTTTCTCATTTAATTACAATACATCCTCGTTGGGAGACTCGAAAGTCTTCAGTTTGATCTCGTCAACTCCGCCTGTAGCTCTTCTAGAGTTACTGCCGGTCCCAAGCCCGGGTAAAGGAGGAGGGTTGGGCATGGGGTTAGCGTCCCCATCCCGTAGAAAACTAACTCGCTAAAAAAACACATCAGAAAAAATTATTCAAACCTTTTAAACTCTGCCCTGGGAGT